TGAAGGGAGGCTTTCCAAGTTTACAGGTGCCTTCCCCTTATTTCAGAGCTGGATTTCTGTTTTGGTGTGAACTGCTGATCTGTTTTCTGTATATATTTGAGCAGGGGGGTAAGGAATTGATAGGTGGCAGGCTAGAGAGTGGACATCATCGGAACAAGACGACCCACACCAAGAGAAGGACCTTATTGGTAAGCGGCAGTGGCAGTTTGGGGAGTTTAGAAGAGCAGGAAGCTGAAGATTTCCATTGTTAGTGACTCGTGCTTCTAGGAAGTTCCTCTGGGAGGGACCCTCTTAAAGGATCAGGCATGACTTAGTAGGAGATACTTAGCATTTAGGCATCTGCCATGTGGAAGATGTAAGTGGCTGATAGGCATAGTCGTAGAAGCAGGGAGAACTTGAGGTGGAACTGGTTGAGTCGGAGACCTTTATCCTACTATCCAGGAGAAGGAGAGAAGGAGAGAAGGAGGATGGATGAAAAACTAACCAAGCCATTGTCTTCCAGGCCACCTAGGTTCTTAGGGATGGCTAGTGCTGATAGAGATGGAGAAACAGAGATAAGCGTTAACTAGAATGGATTTTTTAATACTCAAGGTTATTAAGGGGCAGAAAAGGGAGCCTTGACAAAATGTGTTTGAAGGCACAAATTAGAGGAAAAAGAAAGCCATTTAATATTTGTAACTCAGCAGTTCTGAATGTCCCATAATCTGACTACCTTTAGAGTAGGGATAGCTTTCAAAATTTAAGGGTTTCTCCCCAAAGCAGTATATTTCTGCATTTAAAACTTGGTCCATCATAAGATATGTATCACAGACTAAGACAAAATACAAACTGGAGCAAGCCAAGAAAAGTAGTCTGAGCTTGTAAAAAGACGGAGATAGTGCATCCAGCTGTTTGCTTTTTTTCAGAACGTATAGCTATGTTTTAATGTTGGGGTGGGAAGCGTGTAAGATTGCAGAGAAAGTTCCATACCCAGTCTTTACAAATTCACGTTTCAGTTACACTAGATCTTAAGATCACTCTGCTTGTCCCTGAAGAATACACATCTTTTTACACAAAGGAAAACTAAACACACAATCACTTTTTGTATGTAAGTTCCAGATATTTGTACATTTTTATTGATAAATTCTTAATATCTGTATACCTAGGCAGGTAAGTGAATACTTACTATAGTATAGTAAGATACTATAGAATGAAAAATTAATAGTTTTTAGCTAGAGACAGAATTGGTAATCAGGCATTTTATTTCAACTTCCTTTCTTACATTTATGTACCCGCTTACCTCTGGCTGTGTGTGTTGCAAGACTCCATTTGTTAATTTTCACTCCACCAAAATCATGGCATAGCATTAATAACGGGCCTTCATTGTGCTTGTGGTTACGCTTCTTAATTTCAGCATATAGCAGCCGCCTGTTGTGTTCTACCTGCAGCTGAACCTATGTAAGCAGTTGTCTAGCCTGACACTGTTCCTGCGCTTCTCCACAATCTGTGTGTAAGACTAGGTATGGGAAATCTCTTTCCCTTCAGTTCCTTCCCCCCTACATTAAAATATGAATACAAATCTCAGGTAATCAACAGTTGGATCCACTGAGTCTTTTCATGAACCCATGACCATTTTCCTTTGCTTAAACCATTTTATAATTTTATTGTGTTTTATGAGTTTTTACATACATGCCTTGACAACCTATGATAGTATATGTTCTTTGGGGACCTGAAGGCTATATCACCTTCACCTTGTTCTTCCACTGTAAAGTCAAGAAACAGTTTGATTCAATAAGAATGGGGAAAGAGAGATGCATCAGGTATTTTTTGTTTGTTTGTTTCTCCTTACCAAATAGTAGAATTTCCTATATATTTTATCTTCTGTCTCTTGCAAGATTTCCTGTGGTCACAGTAGTAAATGTTAATTTTAAAGGTATACAAGTGTGTATATATATGTTTGCGTGTAGGCATAGTACATATATACTGGCTTATATCACTAAACATATTGGCTTAAACCAAAGCACTTGAAATCATACATTTAATAACTATGGGTATGTCTTGTTCTGAAATGGCCTATTTTCAATTCTTATTTATTCATGCTAATAGGAAAAGGATGTTATAAATAATGCAAAAATCACTTACAGCTGACTTAGTTATATATTGTATATTTTTCATCAGACTTAGTTTCTTAATTGTTTGCTCTATTTATTACCCAAACGAGCTAACATCATGAGTATTTAACAAATGATGATTGGTGGAGATGGCTAGGAGCATTTTATGTAGTGGGAAAATCCAATCTAGTGTTATCAACTTGCTATGGAAAATTCACATGTGGATGATTGATATTTACCCTCACACAAGGGACTAATACCCTGTGATGCAAAAGAGATGTGAAAATAGATAGTATTTTGTCTATAATCTGTTTCAGAATGATTCAATCAGAAGTTTGGCTTAATATTTTATACCTTGATAATGTGAAAAAAATAGTCAGTGCTTCTCCACTATGAGAGTAAAATTGAAATATATTTGGAAAAATGACTTTTTCCAATGTATTAACTGGCAATCAGAATTCAAATAAAAGGAGAAATTGGTTCAAGTGAACAGAGAAACAAAAGTAGATAATAGATATAAGCAGAAATCAAACTGAATTTAAAATAATGAATGTGAGTATTTTTCTGTACTCAGTCCATCAATTATCTTCAAATAAGCAACATACTATGAAAATGTAATGCTTGCATTTATTGGTATTTTAAATGAAATGTGTAGGGAAAATTATCCATTAATTATAAATTCCCTATCCAGTTTTCATTTTCAAATAACATTTATTCCAAAGTGTTATTTCGATACCAATTGTCAGTGATTATGCCTCAACACTTGTTTTAAATGATACTATAAAAAGTAAACATTTAAAGAAAAAATTTGCACATACCTCGATAAAGACATTGTGGAGTCGAATTTTTATCATGTTTCGCCATCAAATATTTTCTTGACACCATACGTTTGAAAAATCACATACTTACAGTTTTTGCATGTTTGACTAGGACCTTGGTATAAGCATCAAAAAGGGTGTGAGTAGAGAAATAAAGTAGATCCATTTGTGAATATGGAAGTGAACTTTTATATCATAGTGTAGGAACAAGCTGGAGAAATTTCTTTTATGTGAGTCATTTCTGGATGAAGCTATAAACTTTTTTTTAGCCAAAAGCTGTCATGGTTTCTTGTAAAATAATAAAGATAATAAAGATATCCACTTTAATTGATTCTTTTCATTGTTTAATAAAATTGCTTTGTTTGATTGCTGAAGAATTTGAATTGAGTTTTCATTACCCACTTCTGAACAATTTACTCTAAGATTCAGACAGTATTGAGCTAATGAGTTTGAATTTATATTGAACCTTAACTGTCTTCATGAAGTAAATGGAAAAAAATCATGGCAGTAACTAAGTATTCTTCATTAAAAACTATGTCATAGAGATTTTACAATGAAGCTTTTAATGGAGCTAAAGCATTTAAATTGGAGTTTTACCAACTTTGCTGTTTCTAAGTATATTATATGAAAATATTATTTCTTTTCCTTTTTTAAGAAATGAAAACTCATTAAGCTGACAGGGACATTACAAAAATTTTCTTCAAGGGGGTTGTTTGTATATTCAACAGATTCAGTAAATAAGTTAGTGTTAATTTAATTGGGGAACATGTCTAAATTGAAATTATTCATAAATACCTTCTAAGGTGTATCCTATTAAGGTGTTTAAAAATCTACTGAAATCCAAAACATGGCCCCATTATTAAAATGAAAGCTCTCAAATGTACTGTTTTTACTTTGACACTATATTGCCATAATCAACTTTTGTTTCTTTGTAGTTGAATAAAGGTGATATATTTATTGATGCACACATATTTAATATATTGCTTTGACATTATTAACCTTTGTAAAGTGATCTTTTAGGCTCTTTGTGCTGTGTCTAAATGAGTTGGGCATTTAATAATTCCATGTTTAGGATTTGTGGTGGAATTAAGTGAGGAACTTTAGCTCTGAATGGTGGCTAGAATATCATTTAATACAAGAATAACTACAACTACCAGTGGGCTTCACTTCTAAGAAGTAATTAATTCTCTAGGTATCTAACAGAGACCATTTCATCTTAATTTGGTTATTCAAACTAGATTAGACTCAAAAAGTAAGATAAATATTGTAGAATTTTTTTTTAATTGAGGAACTATATAAGAAAAAGAAAAACAAAAAAAATATGGTTTAGGGGAAATTTACTTACTTGAGGTTATTTTCCAAGAAATCACTTGGCCAACTCGAAATGTGATATACTTTTTAAAACCTCATTTCAAATAAATTATTAGAAGATTTGGAATAATATTGCATCCAAATTGCTTATGTGCATTCCCCACAAGTAGTTGTGATGGTTCTTGGGATAAGCAACCACTGTCCTCTTGCCCATCACAGAGATCTCAGGCTTCTGTTACCCACCCCCACATGCCTGGAACTAATAGCCTTCCACTTAGGCAACCTCTCCACCATCTCAAGCAGAGCCACCTTCTGCCAAATTCTATAATGGTATTTTTTGGTACTAAAAATGGCAGTTGCCCAGAAAAAAATATCCAATCATTATATTGTAAAATGTAGGACATAACGAAGAGATACTACATTTAGATAACTGATTGTGATATGTTAAATAAAACCCTCATATTTTAAGCAAGAATTAGAATGATCAGAAGGATAATGCAGCAACGAATTGACCATTTGTATTGAACGCATGGAGCATGGTGACGTGATAAAACATGGCACCGAACTGGTTAGCTTCAAAGCTAATTTCCCTGAGTGGTGAGTGGGTATTGTTGCATATAAAGAGGACGAATATTTTTCCTTTGGCAATCATTATTAGAACGTTTTTTAATGCTTCAATTTTCAATGATTTATGCCCTTTACCATTTTCATAAATGAGATACACTACGTTTCATAGTTTTATTTGAACAGAGCAATGATGAGATCTGTGCATTTTTTATAGGACTGGAACTTCCTTTTATGATGATGCCCCACCCTCTAATTCCCGTCAGCCTACCTCCAGCATCTGTCACCATGGCAATGAGCCAGATGAACCATCTCAGCACCATTGCAAATATGGCGGCAGCAGCTCACGTTCAGAGTCCCCCTTCCAGAGTTGAGACGTCTGTTATTAAGGTAATTGTTTTCTTACGTGACTGTTTTGGCTTATGCCAAACATCGTCTTAAGCCACTACCTCTAAGTCTATTTTTTTATTCCACAAGTAATTCTAAATTCAAAACAGATGATAGTAAATAAATTGTGAGAAAAAGTAGTTAGAACCAGGTAGAGCCAGGGGTACAGTATTAGACAGATTAGGCCAATCTTAAATTCCGTGTTGTATCTGTTGTTTTAAGTTTATTTATTTATTTGAGAGAGAAAAAGTACAAGCAGGGGAGGGTGCAGAGAGAAAGAGGAATGGAGAGAGAATCCCAAACAGGCTCCATGGACAGAGCCTGATGCAAGGCTTGACCTTATGTCTGTGAGATCATGACCTGAGCCAAAATCAGAGTGAGGCACTTAACCAACTAAGCCATCCAGGGGCCCTTGTCTTTTATCTATTAAGAGAGAGATGGATGTAGGAAATTAATTCATATATTTCAAATTCAATAAATATATGACTGTGTGCATGAATGCATGCATGTCAATGTATGTGTGTGTGGGTTTATGAGCTTTAAGGTATAGGAAATAGTTGCTGATTTGTTGTTAAATTATGGTTCTGCCATGTTGCCTTGAGCATGTGACTCAATCTTTCTGATTCTATTCTACATATAAAAAGTAGGTAATACAGTATAGGTGTAAACACTAAACAAAATAATAAAATTGAATGCTTTTTATATATTCAACAATACACTATATCTGAAGATAACACTATTGTTATACAAAGATCACATGTGTGTGTATATATGCACAATTCTCTCTCTCTCTTTTCCCCTTGTGTGGGAGGGTATGTGTATACCCTTAAATGTGTACCTTTAATTTATTTTATAATATGTACTTAAACAAAATTCCTTTAAATGAATTGTCAGAATACATTATTAATTTTTAAATTAAGTAAAAGATACTAATGCTTATCCTTATATGACATAATCATTACCTCTTTCTTCTGAATATAATACAGTTGAGTTAAGGAGGCCTCTGGAGCATGCCTTACATAAAAAGTCCTGTTAACAATTCTTATTCATTGCTGGTAGGTATACAAAATGCTATAGCCATTTTGGGAGGCAGTTTTATGGTTTCTTACACAGCTAAACATACTTCTACCACAGGATTATGTATTTTGCCAGCTCCTTGGTATTTACTCAAACAAGTAGAAGAGTTATGTCTACACAAAAACTTGCACATGGATACTTATAGCAGTTTTTTTTTTTTTAATAATTGCCCAAACTTGGAAGCAACCAAGATGTTTTCAGTAGGTGAAAGGATTAAAAAGAAGTGGTATATCCATATGTTATGACTTTGCTAATTTAACATTTGTTAAGTGGAACATAGGGATGACTGATGGTGAGCCATGGTCCAACACAAACCATAAGAAAAATTGAAATAGAAAACCTTATTACTCACGAGTTCTGGTGGAAATACCTCAGGGTATATACCTTGAAGGACCACATGGGGAGGTCAAGGTGGAGTACAGAGAGAACAAGGCAGGATCTGGGACAGATGCCTGTGTCAGGGCCCAACAGTAGAATGCTTCGAGGTTCCCAGGCTAGGGCTAGATTGGGCAATTAAAACCAGAAGAGCATAGTTTTGGTGAGCTCCAGCGGGCTTGTATGTAGGAGGAGACCTTTATTCTCAAGTGCTGTTGAAGAAGTCCTATTAAGGGCTTACATGCTTACATTTACTTGTGATTCTGTGGCTGTTATCTAGGGCATGTGCTTGCAAGAGGGGGCTTTTGTCAGTTAAGGTCCCTCCAGGACAGTTGGCCAAACAAAATGGATGCCTAGGCAGCAATACTATTGGAGTAGCTTAACTAAACGCTTGACACTGTATAATGGAATATTATACACAACTAAAAAGAAATGAATTATCAAGTCATGAAAAGACATGGAGGAAACTTAAATGTATACTGGTAAGTGAAAGAAGCCAGGCTGAAAAGGCTACACACTGTATGATTCCAAGTGAATGACCTTTTAGAAAAGGCAAAACTATGGAGATACTAAAAAGATCAGTGGTTGCCACGGAGTGGGGCAGGGATGAATAGGGAGAGTACAAAGAATTTTTAGGGCAGTGAAAATGCTCCGTGTTCTACCAAAATGATAGGTAATGTCATACATTTTTTTATAAAGGCCATGTTACTACTTATACACTGTATAAGTATACAATGTATATACACATTGTATACATACTTATACATTACTATTATACATTGAATAATATGCTAATACCAATTTTTCTTATAACAATGGCTCTATAAGCAAAGATGTATACTAGTCCCTCACCATTTTCTGAAGTATCCTCACCAGGAAAAAAATATATGTATCACAGAAAACCGAGATCAACTTCTTAAAAATCTTCAGCTGAGAAAATGCCAATGAATGCTACATTGTCATCAGCCAGGAACCAAGAAGATAACTTTTAAAAATTCCTCTTTATTCGGAGTGACTTTCAGAGGGTTCCTTTGTTACCAAAGGATTTGTTAATCAAGATGTCACTGCATACTTCCATTTATGACCATTTTTGGTAATAGTTATTACTGAGAATTCAACATTCTCATTGCTTCACTCACTGAAGTGACCTAGAGGGAGATTTTGGCTGAAGAAAAAAGGCTAAGTGTTCCTATCATTGTACTCGATAGCTATTTTAAAAAAATGAAAAGGTAGTAAGGATTAGTTATAGGATGTGATTACTCTCATTTTTTAAAAAAGTTAGTAATTATTACTATAGAGAATCGTCCTCATAATAATAATTATATAATTTTCACTCTCAAAACTGGGAATTTTGTAGTTCCTCATTTAGACAAGATACGGAATCGTAGTTAAAGTAGAACTATGGCAGAAGAACAGATTTTAGCAGTTTAAAATCATAATGGGTGACTTAGTTATTAACTGTAGATAATTTGGACATCAGCTGGTAGCTTACATATGTCTGGATCCAGAAGACTCTAATTACATCAGAAAACTTGATTTATTTTATCTTTTAAATACACACATATTTTTTAAATAGTGTATGTTGCATCCAATGTTAATTAGAATACTTAAGTAGTGAAACTTCCTTTACTAAATCTTTGGTTGTCAACATTTAGGTAAGTAGGAGGAAGCAGTTGGGTTTCCTCTGGAAGGCACCTTTAGAAAACAGTCTAGATTATTGAAAAGTCAGCAACATTCCTTTGGTTTCTTAAATTAAGGTCAGGAATGGAGAGGAGGGAGACAGGGAGAAAGGAAGGAAATATGCAAAAAGGTAATAAAAAAAAGTGACAAAGCCCTGTGTCTTGAACTGTGTGCCAACACCTCCTACAATATAGTGATAGCCCATTTTCTAGTCTCTCGGGGCAAATATTTTCAGAAACTTGGCTATGGATAGGTTAAAGGAAATTCTGGGCTTTTGAAAGCAGTGGTGATATAAATGGTGATAATAGCTGAATAAGAAACAATGGCTCTAATTAAGAATGATTAGAGAAAATAAAACCTGATGGTTTTAAAAATTATTATTTATCACTAATAATACAAGCTGGTAGTTTTAACTGCACACATCAAAGTGACGCTCCATTGGCCACCGTGGAAGTGTGGAAGGGCCCATTGCCCCATTTCGTTGCAGGCTGGCCATCTATATATTTTTAAATTTGATGTTAAAGATCATAGAGACTAACCATATTTCAAGAAAAGCATAAGATAATTCTAACAGTTTTTGGTAAAAAAAAAAAAAAATTAGACCTGAGAGAATTCGAGAGTACAGCCTTGGAGGATAAGGGTAAGGAATAAGTTCTTTATAGAATTCCAAATATTAGGGAAAACAAGTTAATAAAAAAACCTGCCTAAATTTATATATAGAAGACTTCATAGCACAAGCAGTGTTTAGTAAACTCCCATGATATATATTAGTTAAACTTAATTTGGGGGAAGTTTGATTTTCCCTAAAGAAAATGTTTGACTCCTATGTCACATTAAATAGTATGGGACCCAAGTGGGCAATTAGAATAGTGCTTGCAACTTTGTTTGCCTGAAAAGATTCTAATTATGAAGGCCGATTAAAAGCAAAATGTTAAATACCAAGAAGATTTCCCCCATCTGAAGGAATGATAAAACAAGGCAAATAGCTTTTGAAGGGAAAATAGAAGGTTGAGGCGTTTCCCGTGTGCTGGAGTGTACCATTTCCATTTTTTGAGAGTAATGATAAGAATTAAAATGAAAACAACCTACACGAGAATGTCAAAAGAATTTATAGGACAGAAGGGAAGTGAAAACAATGCTCTAAGGGTTACAAACTTTTAAAACATTTTGTCATTACCTGTTTCTAGGAGGTAAAGGAGCTCCAAAGACTTTCTCATAAACCTATTTATGAGAATGTACACACCACACCAGTACATGCAATGGAACAGGGTCCAAAAGCTGTCGTCCATGGGTAAAATTCACCCTTCTTCCAGTTCTCGCATGGACTATGAGTTAAGAATGGTTTTACACTTTAAAGTGGGTGAGGAAATATATCACAGGAAGACAGTCATTCACGACCCGTGACAATTATATCAAATTCAAATTTTAGTGTCTATAAACAAAATGGCTTTGGGAGTTAGCTACACTCTCTCTATATAACATCTATGGCTCCTTTCACATACAAAGCAGAGTGGAATAAACTATTGACTAGCTGGCTCTTTACAGAAAAATAAAAAAATGCTGGTACCTGCATTAGAACTACAATGAACTGGGGCGCCTGGGTGGCGCAGTCGGTTGAGCCTCCGACTTCAGCCAGGTCACGATCTCGCGGTCCGTGAGTTCAAGCCCCGCGTCAGGCTCTGGGCTGATGGCTCGGAGCCTGGAGCCTGTTTCCGATTCTGTGTCTCCCTCTCTCTCTGCCCCTCCCCCGTTCATGCTCTGTCTCTCTCTGTCCCAAAAATAAATAAACGTTGAAAAAAAAAAATTAAAAAAAAAAAAAAAAGAACTACAATGAACTCATACCCGTGTGAATCTTAGGCTGTGGATAATTG